TCATATTGATTATTTAAAAACTAAAAGGTATATAAAAAGTACGGGCGTTAGAATGACACTCTAGAAACAATTGCTAATTAAACCCCTTTCACAACTGACAAAGGACTGTTTGGCTTTGCAATTGGAGGCAGCCTTGATCCAAGTATGGACTATCTTCAATGTCATACCTCAAGTAAACGATAACTGATTCTGATTGCAGTAGATGAAAATCTGTGAGCTGCCGAAATCTGATGGCTAGCATAGTTCCGTCTAAATGTGTAAGCTTACAGATTTCAATCTAAATCTGAGAAGCTTCTTAAAGTTTGAGCTATTGTTGTAATTTTTATTGCTACTGTTTACTCGCTCTAACTTTGTTATGTTGATTTCACTTATCATTGTTATGCTCTCTTTACTTTAAAATTGTACGTAGTAGTTCCTGTTGGGCACGGCAGACGCACATCTCGCCGCATGCCAATACTAGCTGAATATAAAATTTTAAAGTCAACAAAAGTTTATGTGTATTTTTGACTAATTGATATAATTATGTAATTATGGCCTTTCGCCGTCCACTTATCATAATTAGTAGTCATGAAATTAAATAAGAGACGGAAGAGTGAAAGAATTTTATTTCTGTGTTGATCGCATGTAAAAGCATGCCTCAATATATATACAATCTTGAGTGCCTAGTATACGTACTATATTAGTTACAAGTGCTAGACTTCTACTGCTACACGTAAGGAAAGAAGCATGGGCTCCGTTACCAGCTAAGTGATAAGATTAGAAAAATATAAATAATACAATTATTTACAATAAAATATGTATGCGGACTAAATAATACCAACACCCCCCTCAAGATGGAGCATGGGGATCATGAATGCCCATCTTGGCAAGAAGATAGTGAAACTGAGAAGCACCCAAAGCTTTAGTGAATATGTCTGCCAATTGTTCAGAAGTGGACATGTAGCAAGGAATAACAGCACCTGACTTCACATGATCACGAATAAAATGGCAGTCAAGCTCTATGTGTTTAGTACGCTCATGGAAAACGGGATTTGAAGCGATATGCAGAGCTGCTTTGTTATCACAAAAGAGCTTCAGTGGGGGGAGCTTAATTCGCAAGGATGAAAATAAGCTTCGTAACCACAAAAGTTCACAAGTAAGCGTGGCCATGGAGCGATATTCCGCCTCAGCGGAGGAGCGAGAGACCGTAGCTTGCTTCTTTGTCCGCCAAGAAATAGGGGACCCCCCAAGTGTCACAAAATAGCCCGTAACGGATCGTCGTGTTTTTGGACAACTAGCCCAATCCGAATCACAATACCCAAGAATTTCAAGAGGAGAATCACGCCGGTATACAATACCTTGGCCGGGGTGGCCCTTGAGATAGCGAAGTACGCGGATGACAGCATCCCAATGAGCCTGTCGAGGCTCTTGCATAAATTGGGAAAGTATATGGACCGAATAGTTAATATCGGGTCGGGTGAGCGTAAGATAAATCAACTTTCCAACCAGACGCCGATATCTTTCTGGATCCGAGAAAAATGGGCCAGCGTCAGATTGAAGGCCATGATTTTGAGGCATAGGAAAATCAGCGGGTTTGGCCCCTGTCAGTCCTGTCTCAGCCAAAATATCCAGAACATACTTCCGTTGACATAAGAAAATACCACGCGGACTCCGTGCAACTTCGAGACCAAGAAAGTATTTCATAAAACCCAAGTCCTTGACAGGAAATGTGCGTGCCAAATATGATTTAAACATAGAAATCATCTCAGGACTAGTACCAGTAATGAGTAAATCATCAACGTAGACAAGAATACATAATAGGTGATCACCACGGTGAAGAGTAAATAAAGAATAATCAGCATGTGACTGAGAAAACCCATAGGAAAGAAGTGCATTAGTTAGCTTCGAAAACCAACAACGTGGGGCCTGACGAAGCCCATAAAGTGACCGAAGTAATTTGCACACCTGTCCGGATTTAGTAGAGGAGTAGCCGGGGGGCAAATGCATATATACCTCCTCTTGGAGATCACCATGTAAAAAAGCGTTGTCCACATCCATTTGATGTGTTTCCCAACCACGGGATGCAGCTATAGCCAAAATAGTACGTACCGTGACCATTTTGGCAACCGGAGCAAAGGTTTCGTCATAATCAATTCCCTGTATCTGGCGGTTACCACAGACCACGAGCCTAGCTTTGTAGCGATCAATGCTGCCATCGCTCTTGTATTTTATTTTATAAACCCATTTACAGTAAATGGGTTTCTTACCAGGGGGGAGATCCTGCATTATCCACGTACCTGTTCGCTCCAACGCATCAATTTCATGTTGCATGGCAGCACGCCATTTGGGATCCGTAACCGCCTCACGAAATGTATTCGGTTCCTTGGTTGCTGAAATAGCTGCAATAAAAGCACGATGGTGTACCGAAAAGCAATTATATTTTACATAATGAGATAAGGGATACGGGTTACCTGATTCAACTGATTGAGACGAGGGAGCTACGGGAAAAGTATTTATTTTCATAGTATTGATTTGCACTGTGTAGTCCTTATGCCACACTGGTTGCCGCTTTGGTCGTGCACCACGTCGTACAGAGGATTCAAATGGCGGTGTCGGCACGCTAGTCTCTCCTACGGCCTGGGAAGCAGCTCCCATGTCCAGCTCCATTTCCACGTGATTCCCATTATCATGGTCAGAGGAGGATATTATTACTTGATGGGTTTGCTTTTCCTTATCTATGCACGTAGTGGCAGATGTCCCTGAATTGTCCCTTGGAGTACCAGCAGCTTCTTGTGAGTCAAACTTGTCATCATCCATGATATGAGACGGTGGAATTGTCACCATGTCACTGGAAGCCGCATTAGGAATTTCATTCTCCTCACTCATGGTAGCAAACGGAAAATGCGTCTCAACAAACGTAACATCTCGCGAAACAAAGTATCGTTTATTTTCAAGATCATATAGTTTCCATCCTTTCTGAGAATAAGGATACCCCAAGAAAATGCATTTAAGGCCTCGTTGAGCAAATTTATCCCCGTCAGTTCCGTTTGAACGTGCATAACAAAGACACCCAAATACACGCAAATGATCATACTTGGGTGGCTTGTTATACAATAATTCATAAGGGCTCTTATATTCCAAGACGGGAGTAGGCAATCGATTAATAAGGTAACAAGCAGTCAAGACACATTCACCCCAAAAATCAATCGGTAGATGAGCATGAAAACGAAGGGTGCGAGCAATATTCAAAATATGCCTGTGTTTGCGTTCAACCCGTCCATTCTGCTGTGGAGTGTAAACACAAGTTGTTTGAAAAATAATTCCATGATCCAAAAAATAATTTTTCAAACTTTGAAATTCTGTCCCGTTATCACTCCTAACAATTTTCACCCTTTTGTTAAATTGACGGTCGATCAAAACAATAAATTGTTTAACTATCTGGGACACCTCGCTTTTTTCCCTCATCAAAAAAACCCATACAGCACGTGAGTAATCATCAACTATAGTCAAAAAATATCTAGCACCACAAGACGCAGGTGTACGATAGGGACCCCAGACATCACAATGTATCAAATCAAATATTGCAAATGCTCTGGATTCACTAATATGAAAAATATCACGCGTCTTTTTCCCTCGCAAACATGCATCACAAAATTTATTCAAGCCATTCTCCAACACAGTATTATTGAAAGTAAGAACAGAACGCAAAACTTTGACAGACGGATGTCCTAACCGGGAGTGCCACAAATCTCCTTTGCTCTTCTCCGTTATTGAACAAGCACGAGCAGAATCAAAACTACGAAAATAATATACTCCTCCTCGTTTCTCACCCGCTCCAATCAGTATCCTCGAAGGTAGGTCCTGTATCACACAAACATCATTAGTAAAAAACACACTGCAATTCTGGTCATCAATCAATTGTGCCAACGAAATCAAATTGCAAGTCAATCCAGGAACTAATAAAACATTTTTCAGAGTAATTCCAAGGCTTATCTGCGCGGCCCCTTTGCTTGTGGCAAATGTGACTTCGCCGTTTGGCAGAAAAACGGACAATGGTTTAATTTTCTGGATGTTCATCAATAAGCTTTCCTGCCCGGTCATGTGAAATGAAGCACCCGAATCTAATAGCCACATATTATCACAAGCAATACCTGATATTTTTTTCTTGGGAAGCCGGCGTTTTACACTTCTCTATCAACTGGAGAAAATTTCTCCATTGATCGTCACTAAAACAAGGCATGCGTGCAGGCTGTGCAGATTGAAGGTCGTTCGTGGATCGTTCGCCGCTCTGATACCAAATTAAATAAGAGACGGAAGAGTGAAAGAATTTTATTCTGTGTTGATCGCATGTAAAAGCATGCCTCAATATATATACAATCTTGAGTGCCTAGTATACGTACTATATTAGTTACAAGTGCTAGACTTCTACTGCTACACGTAAGGAAAGAAGCATGGGCTCCGTTACCAGCTAAGTGATAAGATTAGAAAAATATAAATAATACAATTATTTACAATAAAATATGTATGCGGACTAAATAATACCAACACATGACCCGGTTCCAGAACCGGGCAAGCGGTTTTAGATCGATACCGGGCTCGGGACACCAAATGGATATGTAGCAAATTTTATTAGTTGTGTTGATTAAGAAGATTCCAAATTGCATGGAATGATAAGTCATTATTGTCACATTTTTATGGGGCGTCGGCTGCCAATTGCTTTTATGGAGTGTCACATTTTTGTTGAAGGAAAAAAAATGGGTCTGATTTTTTCTTCTATATTTTCGAGCCTAGGACGGTCGCCCTTGCTGTCCTCCCCCTAGGACTGGCCCTGATCTCTGGGTCTGCCAGTGCGAACGCCATGATACATTCCATATGTTCCAAAACTTTGTGCCACTGGCCCCCATACATGATCCCCACATACAACATCGCCTTAACCATGTGATTAGAAACGAGAAACTACATGTAACGTATGTGTGAAATTAATTAATTACTTTATTTTATACATTAGGACATGTAATTGTGCGACATTATTATTAAAATAGTAATACATCACATATTATCACGATGTTTAATCAAAGTTTAGTTGGGTATTGAATATTGCATCTCCTTGGACCAGCCTCATCTCTCGTCAGCGGTTCTCTTGATTATTTGCATATGTTCAAGGGTTCTCATGGTCCAACCCCCACTAGTGGATCTAAAAAATATTCGAGGTCTTTTGGATGGAAATACCATTTCCCGGTCTGGAACTTGGAATAGCTCTTCCAAATCACTGAGAAAAAGAATGAATACATATATAAAATTTACTGCTTGAAAGTTTTATCAAAGGAGTAAAACGGAATGAAAGATAGGATCCACCACAATAGAAAGTGTAATAATTAATGCATCATTGATAAACACAAAACATGAATATGATATTGATTACCTTCTTATTTCACGTATGTTATGAGGAATCGCTTGAACCGGAACAGTGAAATAAGTATTACAGAGTTCCTCGTCAGATTTGTTTCGCAATGATTCAATATATTTCAAATATTTTTTACCCCTATCAATTGAAAAGATCAAAGCATACGGTACTCAGAAAAAGTAGTAAATGATAAAGTATATTGAGTGGTAAAGCTTTACCGGATCCCAAAATCTTTATAATACTAGTATATAAATTAAGTAATTTCCGGTATTAGAGAAAGAATGATGTAAACATTCAGAAATAAAACTAGTATGTATGTTTTCTCTAAATAGAAGTATGTGCATAAATTAAACACTCAAATTTGACATTATCAAAAATTAATTTGACAACTTTAATTTCATAGTTGATAGTATTTCAAACATGACAATAATTGCCCCATTTACAAAAAAAGATATAACACTTTTATTTTGAAGTTTCATATTGTTTTTACTATTAGGCTACATCTTATAAATAAACTCTTTTAGATTATGGCTAGGTTGTGAGAATACCTAGAAACATGAGCAATAATGAATTGGTCAGACTCAGTATCATATGTCTCAAGGAATCTATTCTTCCAATTGAGGTCCCTTAAAGAAGCCCGTTCTCGAATGCGTCGAATGTATGCATCAGGACCTTTTGTAGTCTCATGGAAGGTTGCTGGAAATATCGATCCTTTGCCAGTTTCCACCTAGAAACACATATTGACTAATAATTAAGAATGAAGACAACTTAGCTAGTTAGCTTATACTCCGTATTAACTACCTAGAGATAGTTTCTCATACACTATGTTCCTTGTACCACTTATGTTGTTTTTTAATTGGAACATGTTGAATTTTACATTATTCACATGTTCTACTTTGGTTATATTTTATTTGTTAATGTATAAGTTTTTTTTTTAAATATCATTGAACATGTGTCATTAAAAACTTTCGAAATCATATCTGATTTGTTAAATCTTGTTCGAATAGAGAATTAAATATATTGGCAGTCAAAGTTGTGTTTTGACAAATGTGAAAATTGGAGTGTTGCAACTAAAAAATAACGGAAGAATTAATTTATTCAAAGTTGAGAGATACATCATACATGGAATACTAAAATAAAAGTATATGATTGAGATATGTGCAGAGAAGTTAGTTTCATTAGGAACTACAAAAATTCATTAGTTTAAAAAAGGAATGTGGTTAAGTTAGTGAGACAAAGGCAATGGATTACATTAGAAGGGATGAAGGATCGATAGATAATCACTTACTAGGAAACCTTTGAGAAGTGGATAAGCATTCCCTTCTTTATCATATACGGTGTTGTCATTAAGAATATATAGAGTTTGAATATTAAATCTTTTGGTGCTTTCCAAAGAACTTCAACTATCTTCAAACAAATAAAAGTGGAAGTTCCATCCCACATTCTACAACTTTGTTGTGGTGAAATATTGTAACCACCAATCACATGAACCTACATGTCACATCATATCTTTGCAAATTAAACTCGCATAACATTAGAAACTGTATACTCATTGCGTATTTTCAACGTTCTCTACCAAAGGTTTGGGCACAAGATTTAAGGGTAAAATAGTAGGGATAATGAATAGTGTAAAAAAAAGTAGAAGAGAAGGTGGAAAAGTATAATAGAGAAGATAAAAATTTGAAAAGGTAAGGGTAATTGAATACTCCCTCCATAACTTTAAAATCTTCCCATTTCAAAAGTAGGTAGATTAAGAATAGTGGAAGATGATATGAATTATTGAGAGTATGATGAGAAAATAATGGAATAATGTGGTGGAATGTAGGATAAATTCAAAAAAAAGTAGTTGTAATAGTGTATTATTTTAAGAATTATTGAGGGTATGATGGAAAGATTTAGAATTGGGAAGATTTTTGTGTTATGGACGAAAAAGGAAAGTGAGAAGATTTTTAAGTAACGGAGGGAGTATTTTTAAAGGAAAACTTCCCAAAAAGGGAAAGTGTAGCAAACTTTTAAATACATCCATAAAGGAAAGTGTAGCAAACTTTAAAATACGGAGGGAGGGAGTATCTTTTTTGGTAAGGTTGAACACCTCGGTCTTTCATTTTCTAAAATAATACGGAGTACTCTGTATCTCATACTTGCCTCGTCCCATAAAATTTAGTCATAGTTGACTTTTTTATCAACTATAATATAATCAAGTCTGATAATTATATACACGAAATGTTCCTTTTAAAAGTACTTTAATAAAAGTATAAAGGTTATAAGTTCCACACAAATATAATAATTAATTAAAATAATTGTTCAAAATTTATTATCATTGATCGCGAAAAGTCAAGTTTTGTGGAACGAAGGGAATACATCTAATAATACCCTAAATTTAAATATACAAACGGCTAATTTAAATTTCCGAACTCTGTCCTAATCCTTTCCTTGCATAGTTGTTGTATACGCAATTTTTCATTTTACTTAATTTAAAATAATGAACGATTAGATGTATGCATTTGCCGCAATTATTGTATAGGGGTGCACTAAAGAGTAGACCCAACTTGAATTCACATCAACTACTCTTATGTAGGCTATGAGGCTATCTCACTTAACAAGGGGTGTTTTTAAATAGGTTAAAGGATCAAATAGGCCCTTGAACTGACTTAAAGTGTTCAATTAGCCCCTTATATAGGAGGTTCTGCCCGGCCGTCGCCAATTGGAGTGATTCCCGGTGGAATTTTTTTATGAATATTTTTGAGCATCTTCTTCATTAAGTCTAGTTTACCCATACCAAATTTCAGCTAAAAATCCAACCGGGAAGGCAATCAAATTATTTTTTGAAGATAACTGCGCAGTTAAACAACGCAGTACATTTCAGAAACTCATTTGACTGCCTTCCCGATTGAATTTTTAGGTGAAATTTGGTATGAGTACACTAGACTTAATGAAGAAGATGCTCAAAAAATTTCATCAAAAAATTCCACCGGGAACCGCCCCAATTGGCGAAGGCCTGACAGAACTTCGTATATAAGAGGCTAATTGAACACTTTAAGTCAGTTCAAGGGCGTATTTGATCCTTTACCCTTTTAAATATCGGGTGCATCTCTCAGACTCTCACTATATGTGTCAATCATATTGTAATTATAATTTGATGATTTTGATCTAACATTTCTAGCAACTTATTTAACTTGTGATGGAGGATCGAGGAAGGATGCTTACATGACTTTCTTCATTTATGTGTTTCATCCTTGCTTACATTAATTATACAGGCGAAAATTAAAATATTAATATATTGCTTAGTGGTTAAATAAACATAGATAATGGACTTGTGTAATTTATGAAAAGCAATGATACAAAGAAAACGATTTTATTATAAGTGCGAGTTGTTAATTTCCGCCTTTCATTTTTTAGTCAAAAGCTAAAATTGATAATGTAGCACTTACGAGTTTTAAATTAATTTAAGGTATTTGCAAAAAAAAGACACTATGTCAATTTAGAATGATTTTTTTGAAGCAACAATTTAGAATGATTAGAAACACACTAAAGATTGCTTGAATAAGTACTCCGTAATTATACTTAATAATAGGAATAAAACAAAAAAGAAAATAAAAAATAGGAGTTAACTCATAATATTCTCTAAATAGGAGTAAACATTAAATTTCTACCCCCAATACCCATATTTTAATTAACTAATTGCCCCCTAGTTCCCATGGATAACAGGGACAGTCCGGTGGTGGCGGCGGCGGCTGAGCTCTGGCGATTAGAGAAAAAGTTCTTGATTTTTTTGCATCACCAGAGCTCCGGTGATAGGCGGTGGCCGCATAATTGGATGTCGGTGGAGGTTGCCGGAGCTGTAGCAGTGGTAGTGGGCTAGTGGCAGAGATAGTTGCAGGATTATTTTTGTACAACCCTGAAAAAACTCGTATTTTGAAATACTTCCTCCGCTTCACAAAGAACTTTACGGTTTGACTTCACAAATATTAAGGAAGTAAAATTGATTTTACTGTACAGTACACTGTTTGACACTGTTTGGCACTAGTTGGTGTAGATTTGTAAGGAAAATAAGGAAGTGTAAAGTTTATTGTGGTACTGACAAAGAAGGAAAGTGTAAAGTTCTTTCTGAACCGGATCGGAGGGAGTATTTAAACTGTTACTCTTATTTTGGCCATTTGGTCATGTTTTGCTCTTAATTTGAGAATCATCTCTTCAATAATTGAAAGGTATGTATCAAATAAAAGTCCAAGCAGTGAAGTGTTCTTAATTATAACAAATTAAAATGAGTTCTGATTAAGGGATAGTTATAGTTCGTACGTCCAATATGTCATCACTTTCTTGATCATCTAATAAGGAGGATATCATCTGGTTTATACCCATGTCAACAATATAGTCATAAATTATATGGGCAACAGAGATCCTGCAACCAACGTCGAAGAATATGGTACATGAAATAATTATATTGGAGATTTACTTCAAACAATTCCATGAATTGAAAATCAAAATAGGTAGGATGAATTTGGTTATTTCTTATACCTTCCGGTTTTTGGATTTCGTATGACAAGCCCTACACAGGTTTGCTGACCATCAGTACCAACAATCTGTAAGATGACAAAATCACAAAACATAAAACATTAGATAATAGGGAATGCGAAAAAAAAAAGAATGGATAAATTTATTAAACCTATATGGTCCATATGGACCACCAGTCCCCCACACATGCAATGTTTAACTGCGCAGTTATATTCATTTGACTGCCTTCCTGATTGAGTTTTTAGCTGAAATTTGGTATGAGTAAACTAGACTTAATGAAGAAGATCGATGCTAAAAAAATCATCAAAAAATTCCACCGGGAATCGCCCCAATTGGCGATGGCCGGACAGAGCCTCTTATATAAGGGGTGAATTGCACCTAAGTTAGTTTGATGACATATTTGACCCTTTAGCCTACAATTTTTTATGAATGTCTTGATTTTTTTTGAATGATTATTATTATTATTATCATTATTATGCATGTTAGTTAAGATTTATTTTATATAAGATTAGGTCCATTTTAATTTTCCGCCTCTAGACCTTTAAACATGCAGGGCCGCCCCTAATCTTAAATGCATGAAGTGAACCACATATATATACTTTCTCATTATGTGCGGCCTCTTTATGTTGTAAGAGTTAAAAGGGCCTTCAAAACCACATACTTGCCGGCCTTGATTCATTCCTACCTAGCTAGAACAGATTTTATGATTAATAACATTTGAGCATCTTTACTCCATCTTGAAATTATACATTTGAAATATAATTAAATAACATAAACCTAGCTTATTAGATATCATATATAATTAATAAGCTTGTCAATTGTAGTTCGTGACACATGCGTGAGAGCAAAAATATTTACTTACGTCAACCATGTAAGGATCCACAGTGGCATATTCTTTTTCCTTGATATAAACCCATTTTGTTTCTCTTGTGACCAGGAAATCAGAATTGTCGCAAAGAGAAAAAGTTCTTTCTGGAAGGGCCCTATATGAAGAAGATGCAGACCTTAAAACAGGATGCGTCACCAAGGAGATGAGAATATCTACTACTCCCTGCTCAAAGCAACAAAAGACATGCAATGCATAAGAGCCGGTTTCAAAAGGTTCTACACAACAAGGCCTCCTAATTTATGGGGCTCCATTTTTTAAAAAAATTATTAGTATGATATGGTAATATTATACGATTGTATATTAATACTAATTAATCACTAATA